CTCAGAGGATAAAAAATTACCTAGTGTATAAGTATATAGTATATCAGAATGTACACTATTCTGATAACAGGTGCACTAAAAGCCTTGATTCAGCATTATGCAATTCACCTATGTAGCAAATAATAGTTGTACTCCCTAAATCTATTAAAATTTTTAAAAATTAAAAAAAGTCTTCCTTCCCAAACCCAAATATGACCATATTTTCCCATACTCAACAGATAAACTCTAATTTCTCAAAAGATTATGGAAAGAAAGTCTTGCTTTTTTTTTTTTTTCCTTTTTGCAGTTTTTGGCCAGGGCCCGGGTTTGAACTGGCCACCTCCAGTATATGAGGCCAGCACCCTACTCCTTTGAGCCACAGGCGCAGCCCCTAAGAAAGTCCTTTTTAAAACTATATACACCCTTTACATCTGACCATAAGAATAGTAGAGAGAAACATGCTTCCTCCAATAGCGATCTTACCTTTATTTTCATCTGTCTTCACAACCTGAACAAAATCTCTTCCAATGAAATATTTGAATGCAGGAGCTCGTTTCTCTCTGTTTTCATCAAAAATCCAGAGGTTGACACGAGCCCTTGTTATGGCAGTATACAGCTGCTTCAGCTCTCCATTGAGGAGCTAAAAGGAGGATTGAGGATAAAGATGATGAGCCTTTTGTCCACAGCCACAATATATCAACAAGATTACTCTGATTTTAGCAAAATATCAAAACTAAATTTTTGAAGGACATAGCATGGCTGACAGCAAGGCACCAGGCACTCACTGGGGCTGCAGCACAGGTGAGTGAGGTTCTAGTGAGGCCATAAGAAATTCTAGCCCTTTCCCACAACATGTGTATAAGACAAAATATCATGAATCTTCCATAATTTTTCTTTTGCTTTTTCTGTTTTTGCTATAATTTTGAAATAATTAAAGATTCATCAGAAGGTATAAATATATTACAGACAAGTCCTCTTTACTCAGTTTATCCCAATGGTTACATCTTACAGCATTGCTATGACTCATTTTTAAAAGTTAAAGCCAGACACAGTGGCTCCCCCCTGTTATCCTAGCACTCTGGGAGATCAAGGAGGGTGGATTGCTTGAGCTGAGGAGTTTAAAACCAACCTGTGTAAAAGTAAGACACCATCTGTACTAAAAACAGAAAAACTAGCCAGCTGTTGTGGTAGGTGCCTGTAGTCCCAGCTACTTAGGAGGCTGAGGCAAGAGGATCTCTTGAGCCCAAGAGTTTGAGGTTGCTGTGAGTTGTGACACCATACATTCTACCCAAGGTGACAGAGCGAGACTTTTGTCTTTAAAAAAAAAATAAAGTTAAACCAGTCATATACATTTTTTCCCCTTCTTTCTTTATTTTTCTCTCTCTCCCTCCCTGAGTGCAGTGGCATCACCATAGCTCACTCACAGCAACCTCAAACTTCTGGGGTCAAGTGATTCTCCTGACTCAGCCTCTCAAGTAGCTGATACTACAAGTGCACACCACCATGCCCAGCCATTCACTTCTATTATAACTATCATTAGTACCAAATTACTCAAGACCTACTGCATTATTGCATCAAAATTTCTGAATAGAGCTGAATTCTAGAAATGATTAGAAGATAACTTCTTTTTTTTTTTTTTTTGTAGTTTTTGGCTGGGGC